GGGGGGGGGGGGGGGAATTATCCGAAATATACTTCTTTTTGGCCGTTCGCATTCCGCGGGCGGAGTGTCGTGTCCACGGGGTGGCTCGCTCGCTCTCGCCTTTAATGCATGCTTTCCTCGTCCTTCGATAGGCCTCGGCAAGGAATCACGCGGGCTATCCTCGGCGGATGGATTCTCCGGATGCCAGTAGTCGGGCGATCGGTCGGCCCTCCGGTGATTTGGCGAAAAGGGGCGGCCGGCGGGAGGGGAAGGGTGCTCTTTTTTTCTCCGCGGCAGAGGACGAAGATTGTTGGTTTTGCAGCACCGGTACCGCGGTGGTGAATGCCCGAGGGCGGCAAAAGGCGGTTGCTGGCTTTCTGGGAACGGGTCGGAGTCCCGGCCGGGAGCGGTGATTGCGTGGTGATTAGCCTCCACCTTCGCTTCTCTTTGGACCGTCGAGAGAGAGAGAAATAGTCGGTAGAGGGAACGGGGAAAATGAGCGAGAGAGCGAGCGCGCGTAAAGGCGAGAGAGCATCTCATACCGTTCGGCGGAACGAGACTCTCGCGCGCGCGCGAGCGATGCCGGGAGAGAAAGAGCGCGCGGGTATCATCGTGCGGCGCGGGTGAGTGTGGGAGCGAGGTGCCCGATACGCGGAGCCCTGCCATTCGGCTTCCTTCGCGAGCGCAATTCTCGCGATCGAAGGAGCGAAGAGAGGAGAGCCACACATGCGTTCGAAAGTGCGCGCACGCACGCGGCGGGCGAGTATGCACGTAGCGAGAAAAGGGTAAAGAATAGAAAGTCGCGAATCGCGTGTCGTTGCGAGCTACGCCGTGGCGAGGTGGCGGCACGCGTGTGTGTATGTGTATGTGTGTTTCTCCTTTTCTTCCTCTTCTTTCTCTCTTTTGTCCTTTATCCTCGCGATGTAATTCTCTCGTCGAGGGAGTCGGGGGACTTCGGCGAAGTATAATTCTCTCTCTCTGTCTCTCTCTCTCCCTCTCTCTTTGCAAGTCTTTGCTATTTTTGCAATACTTTTCATTTCTTAC